TTCTGCAGCAGCTGTGGGTGCGCGCTTGGATGGTAACCCTCAATTTTGTGTGAGCAGGCAGGCAGCGCAGTGCCAGTCGTGGGCATATGGAAGTGAGCTGTCAGCACGTGGGTGCCTACTGCAGCCACAGATGCTGATTTACATTTTGTTGTGGGAAATATCCGGTATTGTCAGTTAATTACCATTAACAAATCATGAGTAACATGCGTCTCCCAAATCAGAGATTCACATAATAATTACATGTGTAATATAGACAGATAGCTACAAACCATGTGCTGGAAAAGCATACAAATATATCTAAAATAGAACTTTTTATTCATGAATACCAGAGCCTTTCTGTTTGCTTTCTGATACAAGAGCCCTTTGAGAGATCTCAAGCCATATTTTGCTGCTTTCTTCACATCCGCAGGATAGAAATAGTTTTCCCTGGGAGAGCTGGGTCTCAGGCCCATCTCCAGAGTCATCTCCAGAGCTCTCAGCAAACCACCAGATCTTACGTGAGTGGGCAGCACTGGGCATCCGAGCAGGTTGTGGAGGAGACAAAGGATGAGATGGACAAAAGAGAAGCTGGGATTTCTTTTTCTGCTCTGCCTGCTCCTTACAAGCTCATTCCCAACCAAATCATTTCGTTACCAAGCGGCAGGGTCTGGGTGCGCATGGGGAGGCTTTGTCCACATTCTTCTCATTTTTCACCACGGAGGAGATGAGCGTTTTGCCCGGCGGCTGTGCAGTGCTAGGCTCTGACCCGTACTCCCTTTCCCCACGAGTACTAGCAGCCGCTTTGACTCTCTCCACACCCTTTCTTGCCAAGGTTTCTTCCATACCCACTTCCAGGTCGCGTTTTGGGGCAAAGAAGGGGAAGTTCCCTGCTGTGCTGTCAGCCTGCTCTCCGGCCCGTGCAAGCGCAGCTGGGCTGCGACAGCATTTTGGAGTCGAGCTGTGCTAGTGAGGACTTGGTGAGGAAGAAGGTGAATTTGCAATTTAACCTTTGGGTTCTCAAAGAGGAGATGTGTAGGCCACCGGCACCCAGGTCACCTTCCTGCTGGTTAAGCAGCAATTTGTTACGGCGTGTGGCTCTTTTGTAATTATGGTGAGCTAGAGCAGCACTGGGCTGGGATGAGGACCCAAAGCGATGGCACATCTGCAACACAAACATGTCCAGCTCCACCTGGGTGGCTCTGCAGTGTCGTCCCACGGTGCAGTGACCCCACGGGTTGCGCTGGACTGGGCAGACACAACTGCAGGACTTTCGTCCTTGCATTGGTGAGAGATGCTGCGGAGGCTGCCAGAAGCGGGCCGTGCCCCGCTCCTTTGGGAAGGAGGGCAGTGAGCCCTCCAGCGGGCCCTTCTCTGCTCG